TTATTGTTTATTCTAATTAAATTTATTCTATAAAAAAGTACTGGTATATCCTAATTATTGTTTATAAATAGTTAATTACTAAGACAGTTTTGAATATAAATGAATATAAAGAACTGTGTTTGTTTCTCTCATTACTTCACATTCATCGCATTACTTCACATTTATATATTGTTAAATGCAAAACTCGCTATTTAAATGGGCTTAAAAATAGTTTAAGTTACAATGAATATATTATACTGACAGATTTTGCAGCTTACTATCAGTTTTTTTTACAGGATGCAAGGTTATTAGGGATCCTAATATTGCCAACATAACTGAATCGAGAGAGCCATCTAAATCGGGTGATGGCTTAAACATCAAGATACCCTATTATGTGAACTTTGATACCTTCAAATTTTGTTCACGGAATAAAATGAACTTGAATGTTTGCTTAGAGCAAAATTTTGACCTGTATACCAATAAAAAAAAGAACAACTCTTCATTTTTGTACTTTTTTGTTACTTCCACTTCAAAACGCTTCAAGTTAGTTTGATATTTGGTATATAAAGCCTTTTTTCTCTTATTTTTAAAAATTCGAAAAAAAAAACTATACTTTTTACATTCTATTACCATAAAATGGTATTCATTTGCCTAGTTTTAAAAACATGTTCTTTAATTTTTTTAAAAAATAACACAAATTTCAAAAAAATTAAAATACTCTTTAAGCACAAATACACTAAAATAATATAACTGTAAAATCTAAATTCTTAATTTTCATTAGCATTTAATGATTCAAACGGTTAAATTGTTCTTTCTAAACCAAAACCTATGATTTTCTGCGGTCTTATCTCTAATAACTAAGGTTTTGTTGGCAGTTCTTTTGTTTACAGTTCTGATCAGTTGTGAAACTCCATTGTAGATTGTCCAAGGAGACTCTGATGAAACCCTTGGTGTGGGACTGATGAAACCCTTAGTGTGGTAGATGACAGTGTGAATTTTGGGTGTTATACTTATACAAGTTACCATTTAATACTACCTTTTAAAAGTTTTTTTTGGTCGTCACACCTTTTAACAACAAAAAAGAAACACTCTTGCACATGGCGTTGTCACATCATGTGCAAGAGTGTATACTTAGTTTTATTCAAGACCATAGCATATAGTTGCTTCATGTCACTACTTTTATGTCACAAGCCAAAATAAGTTTAACTCAATTTGTATTAATCAGTGACCAGATTTGTTAAATATTGATGTGAGTTTCTGGCAAATCTTTTGATACTGGGAATTTTACTCCGTAACCTTTTTTAGTTATCTCAGTGAAAAATTGATTTTTGGTTGTAAGATGGATTTATCTCTTGGAGTATTGAAAATCCCTAGTCAAAAAGTTTTATAGGATCTAATAAGAATTTGGAACAAAAATAATTTCAGATTTAAATTGAAGGTAGTGTTACTTTTTTCTTTTCCTTTTAGCAAACGTTCTGTTGGTTTCTATGTGGTACCCAAGAACCATATTTGTAAAAATTGTTATTGCACAACTCGCATTGTTTTCTTCTTAAAGCAAATTTTGAACATTTTCTTAGAGCAAGCATTTTAAGTTTCATCATGAATCTTAATTTTTTATTACGAAAATTGAACCTTACAATAAAAAACTTAACCAAAGGTTTTTAATCTTTTCATTGCTTTTGCTTCAAACATAGAGAAAATGAAAATAGGTAAGTAGATGTAGAAGTAATCCATAAAAATTTGTTAGTTTTGACCAAAAATACTTACTTGACTTTTTGCTTAGCAGTATCCAGACGTTATTTTCCATCCGGTTTGGCCAACCGAAATCATGAAAAATTTAACTATGTTAGGTGGTTCGCCACTGCTAACACAACCTTGCTGTAGGAGTGAGACACCATTTAAACTTTAAATATAATGTTGACCATCAAAGCAACAATACTAAACTAATAACATGAAAAATAGTGACTAAATTTATCTTCTCCAGTCAAAAAACATGTAAACAAAGCTTATTTAAACCCTGTTACAAATTTTTTTTTAATTTTTGTCAAGCTTTAAGAGTGGTTCTGATTCTACAACTGTTTTTAACTTATAAATGTGCTTATACTTTAAGCACAATTATTTAATTTCCGTTTTAGAATGAATGTCCAGCTCTCCATTCTTTGTTATAACTTTAATTAAATAAATCTGAATTTTCCCTATTTGAACATTCAAATAAAAAAATTTTGCGGAAAAAATTAATTACATTTGCTGTTATATTTTAGGAAAAATTCAAAATCAGATATCCCGCATAAATTGTTCTGTTTCTTATGGCAATCACCATGACACATATTTTGTGGACTGCAGAAGAAATTTGCAAACTTTTATAAACTTTTGTAAATTTTAAAACATTAAGGAATATTTAGTGGTGATCAACAAAATTTTTTTATTTAATTGATGAATGTTCTGATCATTATAAAAACTATAAAAAATGTTAAATCTATTCCACCGCGAAGAAGATTTCAAGATGAGAGCTGAATAGGAGTTTTTTTACAACCATAAAAAATTCCTGTGTGATGGTATGGATGAGACATGGTGTAATATTTAAAAAAAAAACTATAAAGATTTATTTAATTAAAGTTATAACAAAGAATGGAGAGCTGGACATTCATTCTAAAACGGAAATTAAATAATTGTGCTTAAAGTATAAGCACATTTATAAGTTAAGTTTATTTAAATTAAGTTAAGTTTAGGCACATTTATAAGTAAAAGTTATACTTTTTACTTATAAAACATGAACTTTTATCTTTAACAAATTAAACAACCAAGGTGTAAGACAATTATAAAACAATTAGAAACTAAAGAAACAAAAATAATTTCAAAATAAAAATATCTTAAAAGTCAAGAAATTAAAATTAGTAGTTATATAAAATAGTTATACACTTAAATGTTTTTTTTAATGTTCTTTGATTCGTTTTAATCTTGTTGCTGGGACATTCATTACTGTGATCAAATTCACAATGGTACTCAACAGATATCATTTCTAGGTGACAAAATATTTTTTTTACTCTTAATTCTTTGTAATAAATCTAACTCATTCTTTGTAACTAATCTAATCTCTTACTAAACTAATCAGAACATTATTTGAAATGAAAAAGTATATATATTGATTTTTTTGGAATACAACTCCTCTCAGTGAAATGATGATAACTTTTTAAGTTTTATGTTTATGTATGTAATGTCGTATCTATTCTAATAATCAAATTGAATTAAAATGGTTTGTATTTTTACTTCTAACTCTAAAAGTGATAATCAAATTGGTGAAATTGCACTTCATCAATTTGATTATCACTTTGTCAAGAACTTGCATAGTTCCTTACAATGATGTAGTTAATTTTTGACTTTTGAAACAAGAAACTGTAAACTCACACGAACCCCAATCAAAACATTCCGTTTATTATTTACTTTTAATCATGACAAAGTTGTTAACGGTAAAACTCCAAACGGCCAATTAACTCCAAATTATTTCCCCTTTTTCCTTTTGAACTTGGTACTAATTAAAAATTAAGGCTTACAATTGCGTTTTTTAAGTTATTCGCTTCAGCGTAATAGAAATCCCCACAGCTTTTGGAAATGTTAAATCTTGAGTTTCCGATAACAGCAGCTTGGGTTTAACTTGTGTACAAGTTTGGTAGACATCTACGCATAAATGTACACGTTTTAGTTTTATCTTGCAATCCGTCGTGGAAATTCTTTCACACTCTTGTTACTTGTTTTTCTTAATGTTAAAAATTTAAAACGAAGTATCGAAGTATCTAAGAAGAATTAAGTTTAAAAATCTTTATGTTGTTTTTTTGATAGCTTTGAAAGCAATTGACTCATCGTCTGAATATACGGGCAGACGTTGATCTGCCCGCATACTCAGAATCAGCGCACAACACATTTGTGATGGCAAATATAATTGTGCCCATTTTTTTGTTGGGTTTCATACTTCAAATATAGTAATATACGTGCGTAACTGTTGTGCAACCGTTGATGGTTGTTGTCGAATACTGGTTGCATATTGGCCAATATAAAACCAAATAGCTTATTGCATTTTCATCTCTATTGGCCAATATAAAACCAAATACCTTGTTGCATTTTCATCTCTACTTGCCAATATAAAACCAAATAGTTTGTTATATTGGCCAATATAATGTTATATTTGTTATATTGTTATATTGTTATAGTTTGTTATATTGGCCAATATAAAACCAAATAGCTTATTGCATTTTTATCTCAATTGGCCAATATAAAAACCAATTATGCTAATTTATGCTTGTTGCATAAAAATACTCATTAAGCACTAATTATATTTACAACATTATAAAAAAAATTTAAGTTACTTTGAAAAAATTTCACTTTTTTTGATAAATTCTATTACAGTTTATTTGCGTTGAACTTTGTATTTAAATTTGATCACAATAATTTCAAAAAATGTTTTGACTCTCAAGCACACTATCATGGGTTTAAGGGCCCTAAATATTTAACTTGTTTTGAGCATTTTAACTTGTTCAAATGTTTCGGAACATTATAACTTGTTCAAATGTTTCAGCTTAACATTATTTTATCATCATCAAAATATTTCTTCTTAATAAACACTCTTAAAAAAAAAGTAGATATTTCTACCTTAGGGTAGGATATATGATATACCCTTAATAAGGTATAACTTTCTACCTTCTAAGGTAGAAAAATATACTATTAAGGTATAAAATACTTTTAATGTAAAAAATTGCATATAAAATCATTATTTTTAATAATTTTCAACCTTAAAAATTATTATATATATATATATCATGATAATAAAACACCACATATACTACCCTAAGGTAGAAATTTCTACCTTTTTTTAAGAGTAAATCATTATCATCTTCATCCTACTATAATCTTTTCATCCTATGCTCAACTTCATCCCACCAAAATCTTTTTATCTAATCCTTTTAACAACTTTTGTTCATTAAATATTTATTAAACATTCTGCAAATTATGAAAAAATAAATATCATATAATTTATAACAATATAATATATATTAGTAGACGTTTCGAACAAACTCTATTAAATTTTCTATTTACACATTTAAGCGTGTTGAACATGCATTATTTACATGTTTTAGCGCGTTACACATGTTTTATTTACAAGTTTTAGATTGTTATAATTTTCCAATAAAGAAACCACTTTGTTTTATCTCCTTAAACTAAACAGATAGTTTTCTTTGATAAGTGACAGTCTTCCCAACATCATCAATTAAAATTTCTTTAAGAACTAAAGAAATCTAGCTGTGTCTTCAATTTCAAATTTGGTTCCAAAAATGAAACATCGATAAACAGACATAAATCGATAAACAGAAATTAATCGATAAACGTATCGATAAACAAGTTTATCAGATTTTTTAAACGTCAGGCTTGTTTTTATGTTTTGATTTGCAGATGCGCAGCTCATCTTTGAGACAATTAATTATTTCAATGAGTTCTTCTTTCTAAAATTTTAGAAATATATATTTTATGAAAGAATATCAAATTTAAATCGAATAAAAAGTAAATTTAAAAAATATTGATAATATTAATAATAATATTTAATAGTTGATAATATTAATAGAACTTTTTTTAACTTTTATTACCGATTTCGATAAGAGGTTTTGGTTTTCATCTGTCAGCGTTATACGTCGACTCAACTGATAATCCGAAGAATTACGAGAGAGGGTGTCATCTCCTTCGCTTGGTGTTTTCTTATTTCTTACGCAAACTTCAACTGTATCAATAATTTTTCGATTAGTAACATGACATAAAATTGCATTGTAGTTGACATTGGTGTCCATAGAGTAATTATCAGTATTTGAAAAAACCTCTTCGTCGCTGTTATAATCACTTGTATCATCTTTGGCTAATTGAACGACTGAGCTTTTTCGTGTAAGTTGAGAGCTAAATTGCACTTGTCTGTCTTTAATTTTTTCCCTATTTGTTGTGCAGCTGTCTAAAGAGGCACTTCTTCCGATACAATGAAGACGTGCATTCAAATCACGGTTATATTTAGGTAAAACATATGCTCCATCAGGTCCTTTTTCAACTTTAGAATTGGATGCAAAGTACCTAAAAAAAAAAAAGTTCGTTAGAAAAAAAAAAAGATAATTTAAAAACTTTTGAGGGTGTTAAAACACTATTTCGCGACGTTAGAATTATCTTGTTTTATCTCCACATTTTTTAGTTTTGAGATAAAACGATTTAAAAAGCAAAAACTTTAGGAGACGGCGTAAAAAAATTTTTTTATAACATGTTTTTTCCGCAACTTTTTTACTTATAACTTAGGTTTCAATTCAGTAGAAAGACGTTATTTTGAGGAACGCAACACTGTCATTAACTTTTTTCAGAAAGTGGAGATAGAACAAGATAATTCTAACGTCGCAATTTGGTATTGAATGGTTACAAAAATGGAGGGTTCTACGAAAACAAATATGCTACGGAGTGCGTAGCTATCAAAGGTAATGTTAATTAAAAAAAATAAAATAAACTTTACGGAAATGGCTACACAATGGAAGGTTTCGAATAGGATCAAAAGTGTTACCTTGAGTGATCTTGAATTGCTAAATTACAAATAAAAAGACAGTAAAAACTCCATTCAAACAAACAAAAAACAAAAAAAGTTTAATATTGATTATCTTATCTTAATTGAAAGATTACTAAAAAAAGAATAAAATTTCTTATCAGTAATAAATTCAAATTTAAAATATTTCTTAAATTAAAGGTTGTTAAGACGACGTTCATTAAGATAAAAGGAATTCCATCATAAATTAACGCTCTCTAAATATTTTTACTGAACGTCATTTTTCCTTTTTTTTTTAAAAAAATCGTTAAACTATCGAGAGATATGGAGAAGATTATTTTTTAACTTTTATATTTCTAGATTTATATGATATGTCCAATTTTCATAATTTTTCAGGAAGCCAATTCAAAGTCTTTAAACCTCATTAAACGTACATATCAGCTTTTTATACAGCCATTTATTCAACTTCCACTTTTCTCAGACATATCATCTTTTGACAACTTGTTTCAAAAATCTTAAAAGACTTATCAAGTAAAAAAAAAAAAGAAGCGTTTTTCAAAACAAACGGACATTTTTAACTTTTTATTTAAAATTACGTGAAAGTTCGATGTCAAACGCAAATAAAATAACTATTAAAAAAAAAACAATAAATAAACATCTAATAACAAAAAATGAATTAAAAAATAAGTATAACAAATAAAAATAATAACTAATAATGATAAAATGAACTTTTAACCAAAACTATTTTTAAAAATACAAAATTCTTTTTAAAAAAGTTTAAAAATTTTGCGTTAAAAATTAAAAATCTAATCTTAGACCTTAAGGTTTAATTTTTTATATGGAAAAAACAAATTAGTAAAAAAACGAAACACTGCGTCATTAAGATATTTTATTAACTTAATGCTATTTTATATTTATATTATCAAGGTACTACTACCAGCACGTTCGTATATTATATACACGCTATCGTGGTTATATTAAGACAATTTTATGAGATATTTTTTGACAGGTTTATATTATTATATCAAACAATAGCTTTAATTTACACAGTAATTTTGAAATGCTATTTGCAATGCAAGAGCGTCGACGCATATGAATTGGTCGGCGCATGTGAATTGGTCGACGCATGACGATTGGTCGGAAGATTTGCCGACTACAAAAAAAAACATTTTCTAAGCTGTTTTTTTTTTTTTTAATTCTTATAAAATTCGAATTGGAGAGATTGCATTATAGCAACGTATAGCATGGTTACGTTTTCAAACCTAAAAATATCAGATCATATCACTGTTCTTGAAGGCAACTTTTATATTTATAAAATTAGAAAACAATTTTTTTTTAATGCTTAGTTTTAGCTAAAAAACGGACTTATTAAGTTTCGCGGGTTAAATTAGCTAACTATTGTCTCCAACCTTTAATTAATTTTATTTAAGATAAGTTTGCATAATCAAGACCATTAATCTATTCACATAAAAACAACAAGACAAATCCTTCAAATCATTCAAAGACGTTGCTTTTGCGCAGATGTTCAATCTAACTTTGGAAACGTTATGCTAATTAAATTTCTAAATTTTTACCATGCTGTTTGGTTTTTATGTGAAACAGATGCTCCGCCTGTGTATCAATACTAATCCATCTTTTTTGCCATAAAGTAGATTTAAACTAAAACGTTTTAAAACTTAAACATTGATTATCTCGAAGTGAAAATATTGGACTAGCATTGTTCTTCTTTTCACCGATTCAATTAATTCGTTTGCAAGCGTTTACGGTTATTTGAAAATTTTCACAGTAATTGAACATTGATAGTTCTTACGGTTAATAACCATACAAAAATATTTAAAGCCGAAGCACTAAATAGCAAGATGCTAGCTTAGTGTTTAGATCTAGAATATTTTTTAAATATTAAACTTTTTACTACAATATATTATTTACTAATTTACTGATACAGTACAGTCTTTCTAATTTGAATGTCCTTAATTTGGAAACCTCCATCATTCATTGTAAAATGTCACCGTAAAAAGTTTCACCGTAAAAACTTTCTATAATTCGAAAATTTATCTAATTCTAACTTTTATTTTTCCCCATAAAGTTTGAATAAGAGAGAATTTTAAAAAATTATAAATTTAATATATACAATAATAAAATGATAAAGTAATATACAACTATATCTATCATTCTCATAAATAAAGTTACATCAAGGGAGTATCTGTAGATAACATTTTAAAAATTTATCATTTTTTATTATATTATTAATAATATATCATTTTTTAAATTTTATTAATACCTTCTAAAAACTTCTGTTGCATAACTAACTGAACTATCCCGTAAGTAACGGCAGCCTACCAACTAACCTAGTTATAATGCGGAAATAGACGGGTAATGCTTTATTTTGAGTGACGCGTAGAATGATAGGTTTTTGATATAATATGAGAAGCAAAGCCCATATTATTACAAAAATTGTTTGAAGTATTCAAATCAAAGTCAAAGATTAAATTAAAATGCAAGCCTTTATTCAACAAGCCTGTACCCTCGTAAATATATACCAGCTTTTATTCAATAAGCCTGTATTCCGTAAGTATATACCACGCTTTATAACAATAAAATTTATAACAATAAAATTTAACAATAAAATTTAATAAGTAATAAGAAGATAAAACAACAAAAAATAAAATTCAAAAGTTTTTTCAAGCGTTAATTTTTTTATAATTTCTAAAAAGCTATTAGGTTACATTTGACACAAAAATTCTGGATACATATAAATACTTGGGTAAACATTTGTTTTGTTACGTTGTTTATTTTACCTAGAATTTCTTGTATCAATCAATTGAACTTTTGTGTAAGATATCACATATATAATAAACTATTTAGAACTTTTTAAAGATTGAGCTAATACCACCTTAACAAAAGAATTTACTAAGAAAGCAATACTCTTTATACATATTTGAAATATTATACATTCTTATCAGTCATATTTAAAAAATGTATTGATGAAGAGATTTATTTCAATTCTTATTTTCTTTCCCCTGCTTTTGTTCAACTTAACTGTCTTTATACATATTTGAAATATTATAAATTCTTATCCGTCATATTTTAAAAAATTTATTGATGAATAGATTAATTTTCTAAATCTTATTTTCCCCCTGTTTTTTGCTCAACATAATTGTAAGCAAGAAACTGGGGGAAATAAGGGGAAAATATGACAAAAAAATTTAACTCATTAATTTAAACGTAGTATTTTTTTATGGAAATAAATTTAATACTTTTACGAATACAAATAAGCAAACATTAAGTTGTATATTTATATAAAAATAAATTTACCATCAGATTTAAAAGTTAACTCCTGGAACTTATATTGTACTTGGTTAATTTCATCCCAACATATTGATTTCTGAGTTGCTTGAATCATTTTAGACTTCCATAAGTTTGTATTTAGCTTTAATTATTTTCTAAAAATAAATATAAGGAAATTTAAAAAAATAAAAAGGAATCCACTAGTGGATTCTAATCTAAACACGATATTTGTCTTTTTTTTAATCTAACAAAATAATAAAGCTAACTGATCAAACTAGTCTAGTATGTGTATTGTTGACTCTTGTACGGATCTTGGTATGTGGTCTCCGTAAGTCAATTAGCCGGAAGAGGGTAAACCACAGTACCTCTAGTATATATATTTGGTATCTAATTATTTAGAGGAGAATGAACGGCTATATCATCAGTAAAGTAATTCTTTTAAAAAATCCTAATATAATTTTTAACAAACATGAAAAGATAAATTATTTTAATAAACATTAATTTTAATAATATATATTTTTTTAATTCTCTCTTATTTTCAAGTACTTGATAAATAAAAAATCGATAAGAATAAAAAATTCGATTACTAATGTTCTAAATTTCTAGTCTAATAATTCGATGTCTAAATTTCGGTTTAAATTTGTTACAAAAGCAAAAAAATAAAAAAATCAAGAAATCAAGCAACGCAACAAAAAAGAAAACAACGAAATTTGCTATCATAATACTATACTTTTTATATTATATAATATTAAAACAAAGTATAACAATACTACAATAATAAAAAATATTATATATAATAAAACTAAAAATAACTATATATAATATAGAGTTGTTTATTATTTTGTTTGACTTCAAAAATTTTTTTGTCTTTACAATTAAAAAGATTAAAGCATTTAATTTTTTAAGTAAAAAAAAAAAAAAAAAATTTAATAACACGTCAAACCTTTTTCGACGTCATTGACGTCACAATCTTGTTAATAAATTTGAACAAAATTAATAATAACTTTCGAAACTACTTTACAGTTTTTTTTTAACTACGTTACGTCAGTAATTTAAACAAATTTAACCGAAATGCTTTTTTTTTCTCTTAGTTTACAAAATTAATGATCGTTAGAGAACGCAAAGATCGTCAGTAAACGCAACAATCGTCAATGAACGCAACAAAATTTTGTTAAGTTTATCAGATCAATAACTTGAGGATATTTTTAATAAAGAATAAAATGTTAAATAAATTACACTTGAAATTATTTGTCACTTCTAATTAAAAGTAATATTTAATTAAAAATAAAAAATAAACTTACAAATAAAATTTTTTATTTATAATTATATATATGCTTTTTTATGGTTGTTGAATTTTATAGTTTCGATTTTATTAGATCCGATTTTTTTTGTCGAATCCTGCTTCTTCTTAATCTAAAAGATTTTATTTACATTAGTTTCTTCAAAGTTTCCATAAAGAAGAAAGATTAAAAGCTATTTCACTTAATTCTGCTCAGTTTTGAAAATAAACTCTAAAAAATCAAAAACAACGGTAAAATATATGTTTAATGTTTTTGTTTAATAATTTAAACTGAGACACAAAAATAATAAATATTGCTGACGATTTGTTCAAAAAAAAAAAAAAAATACTAAAACATTTTACTGTTATTTTTACATATTTATTTTATTATAAAATTAAGAACATTTATCACCTTTAAGCCATCATATTATTCAACAAGGCATAATTGTTAATTTAAAAATACTATAACCTAATTGCGTCATTAGTTTCCAATACAAAATCTTGTCTTTGTAAGCTCTCGAATCAAAAACGTCACAAGCACCGGCGGTAAGTTAACCGTATGGGAATAGAAAAAACACCAGTTCGAGTGAACTTTGTTATTTGAAAAGCTTACCATTTTTTTATTTCAAAATTTTATACTAATGACGTTTTTGGCTTCTTTTCACATGCAATAAATTAAGACGTTAATCTTCTAAAAAAAGTTTCGCTTTCAGAACGGCTACTAAAACAATGAGACAGGTTTGAAACCAAGTTACAAAGGAAAGAATAAACTATTTGGGTGAGGCTTTTATTAAAGAAAAGGTTTTTATCTTGATGGTTTCACCTTGAACGTTTCACCTTGAACAAAGGACGATGATAAAATGAACTTAGACGAAGCTATTAGAGTTATCTAATTGAATACCAGTAACTTAAACTTTTTACTTTATACAAAAATTTAATATTTTTTTAAAAATATCATTTTGGTAATTTTTAAATAATTATAAATTTTTTAAATGTTAAAATAAGTATATTTTTACTAAAAAATTTACTGTATAATTTAGTATGCTGTAAGTTTATACATACATACATACATACATACATACATACATACATACATACATACATACATACATACATACATTCATACATATATACATACATACATACATAAATATATACATATACATATCTATATAAAGTGGTAGTCAGAGATCCCCCTCAAGACCTGTTATTAGGGCCCCCAAAATCTTAGAGGTCTGGCTTCAGAACTGAAGGTCCGTGGTTCGAAGTCAGCTCTGACCATATATGCATCATTGGTAAGGAAGGAAGCCTGAGTTTTCTAGTTAAATGCTATTCCGCCCTGCTCTAATAAAACCATAAAGACTTCTTGGAGCACTTAAATAACTAAAAAAAAATAATTCGTATGCACACAAACACATATATATATATATATATATATATATATATATATATATATATATATATATATATATATATATATATATATATATATATATATATATATATATATATATATATATATATATATATATTTATATATATACATATGTATATATATGTACATGGGCGCCCGCAAGGGGGAGCAAGAGGGGCACTTGCCCCCCCCCACCCTGTATTTTCTAAATATAGAAAAAAATTTTATATCTTACATAACTTGATTTTTACATAATAGATAACAGGAAAAAAAGCAATAACAAAAAATGTTTTGCCCCATCCTTAGAAAATTTTCTGCGGGCGCCTATGTATATGTATATATATATATATACATATGTATAAATTTATGTATATATATATATATATATATATATATATATATATATATATATATATTATATATGTATATACACATGTATATATTATATATATATGTATATATATTTATATATATACATATATATATATATATATATATATATATATATGTATTTATATATGTATATATACATATATATATGTATATATGTAATATAAATATAAATATATATATATATATATATATATATATATATATATATACTTATATATGTATATATATATATATATATATATACACATATATATATATATATACATATACATATATATACATATATATGTATATATATATATACATATACATATATATACATATATATAGATATACATATACATATATATACATATATATACATATATATACATATACATATATATACATATATATATATATATATATATATATATATATATATATATATATATATATATATATATATATATATATATATATTATATATATATATATATATATATATATATATATATGCATATGCATACAAATACATATCTATATATTTACATATGCATTACTTATGTGTTACATATATTTACATGTGTTACTTATAAATAGCTTTAAACATGATTTATTTAAGTGCTTTGTTAAGGGTTTTGTATTCGAAAAGGGCAATGAAATTATGCTAAATGGAAATTCCATAGTTGAATACTAATAAAAACAAACTTTGCAATACTTTGCATTAATTTGACGCGTTTTTAATCCCAATGCATGTTAATCCCATAGGTTCAGACAAAATGATAATGTATAATTAAGTCATCTACATAAATAGATTTGAAATAAATTAAAATAAATTGAAAGTTCGGTCGTAGGGTTATGTAAATATTTAAACAATTGAACTTTTATATTAAAAGATACTTAAAAAAGTAACGCCAGAATAAACATCCGCCTATTGTTCAATTTTGTGGCTTATTAAGATCCCACGAGCTGTTAATTACGCCGGTCGTAATGAAGTCAATTTTATTAGTTAATTTTAAGTCTAGAAACGGATTAGTATATATAAAGTCCAAAAACGGAATGTATATATATATACATACATATATATATACATATATATATACATACATATATATATATATATACATACATATATATATATATATATATATATATATATATATATATATATATATATATATATATATATATATATATATATATATTTCGTATTTGGACTTTATATATACTAATCCTTAATATAATACTCGACTTAATATATAATATTCTGTAACAGTTTTATTTGTTTGATATAAGTATAAACAAGATAAAAATGACATGAAGAAACATCAAAAAAAAACTATTAAATGAAAAAAGAAATAACAAGAGCTTGAGTTATCCGGAGTTCAAGCTTAACCGGCTTTCCCTCTTTTATAATAAAAGTTTAAGAAGTTTCAGTTGTTTCACAGAACTTTTTTACAAATATATAAAAAATTACTCACTTTTAACTTCGCTCTGCACGATCACCTTTAAAGAAATGCAAAAAAATCTTTAAGTATAACAAAGCTCTAGTAATCCTGGTTATATTAAAGCAAAGACGAACAAAGCGCTTGCGAAATGTTTTGTAAATAAAATATTCCATTTATGTAAAGAATTTTACTCATGTTTCGACAAAATTCAAAGATTTAAAACAATATATATCTGATTTAAAAATCCTAATTTTTTTATTACTTTCGTCCATTTTTTTCAAATTCTTTACTGAATAGTGATTCCAATATACTGCTGCATTACTACACCAGCGTTTAATTTGGTTATAAAGCATTTTCTAAAGTACTTAATAAGACAAATTTTATATGCGCGTATACGCGTGGTTGAAACCAAAATATACGATGCATACTACTCCTCTTATTAGAAATTTATACTTTTTTCTCTATATATTCAGTTATAACGATAATATATTAAATAAATCATATCAATCGTTTTTTGGTTTTAATAAAAAAGATTAAAAAAAAATCTAAACTCTAAATTTTAAGAATTACTTACTTTGCTCTTCAATGATACTTATGTCAAAGTTTGAATAAAATCCTGGATTTGTTTTTTTATTAAAAAAATAACAAGATGTTAAGTAAAAATGTAAGCTCTCCTATACTATACGTTTGAATACTGCAATTTTCCTCAAAGTCGTTTCGCTTGAGTAGGTAAATTATTCACAAAGCTATGAGAGTTCATTCATTTCTCTTTCCGATATAAACAATGAAGCTTTTTTATCGATTAGCTGAAAGTGTAACGAAAATGTAACAAAATACGAAAAGAAAAAATTCTTTCGTAATCATGATTAATAGTAAACAATATTTTTCTTTAACAAAAGTTGATTATTAGAAATATGGAATCTAAATTTAAAAACTGTAGCTCGCCATTTTAGTTTTAGTTGTTTTTAATCTTTAAATAACCTTATAGGCATCGCTTTCTAAATAGACTGATTTAGACTTGAAAATTTACAAACCCATATAACTGAAAAGTTAGAACTGAGTATATCTCTTTTGTATCTCTATGTCACTTTGTTAATTATTACAGCTTTGTGTGTATGAGCGTTTTTTGTTTTCTTTATCTTTTTTTGCTTTGTTTTTTTTTTTCATTTCTATTATCTTATTTATTGCGTTAGTGCACTATATTATTTATTCATATTTACTAGTTTTATCTTTACAATATACTTATAACTCCTACTTCTTTCTTATGGCTTCTTTTGAAATGTTATATTCTATAATTTTTATTTAAAGTTTAAAATAGGGAAAAAACTATTTAAAAAAAAGTATTTTTGTATTTAAAGTTGTCAAGAAAAAAATCACATAATTTAGTTGCTTCGTTTCTTCGTTTTATGTTTAATGTTTTTGATAATAAAAAATACGATAGCGTGCTTTGCTTTAGTCAAATCGTTAGTAAGTTGTTAAAATATAACTAACGAATTTAATTACGCGGTAACAACTTTGAAATAAAATGTTT